TGCTGTGACATATCAACAAAATGAAATCGTAACTTTGTAGAGAAAGGTCTTAGCTTCAAAATTACGGCTTATTTTTTGGTGTTACATTTCCATTTTTGGAGTTAGAGAAGGATCTACAAGGCCAATAAAAAGTTGTGGGACTAGGTGTCTTGCACTATACTTAAGGTGAAGGGTCCAAAATTTCCATGGCCTTTCTTAGAAATGCCAGCTTGGGCTAAATGTGATTCCCCTCTTACTGCAACAGAAGTATATGAGGAGCAATATGTAAAACCTTTACCCGAGGAGGGTGATGTATATGTAGGATCACCTTGGGAAACAGGAAAGACTTATACTTTAGAGCATCTTGCTATTCCTGAAGCTATAAATTTGCTCACTCTATCTACACGACATACTTATTCTAGTGCAGTTACAGTAAGACTTAATCTCAAATCATACTGCGATATTGATACCAAGGAAATAAACCTCCCGGAACATCAAAGAGTAGTGTGTCAGATAGAAAGCTTGCATCGCATTATTAATAAATGCAAATGCGAGAAAAAATGTAAATGTCTTCCGATACTATATGATTTATGGCTTGATGAGGTAGTATCTGTGAATAGTCAAGCCCACACTCACTTAGCAGGACGATCAAGGGAACATTTATATAAGTTAATTCACGATGCAAGGCGTATTATTGTTATGGATAACGATTTAACTGATCTCAATATAGAATGGATTAAAAGCCTTCGTAGGAACAAGCTTTTCTCAGTTATCCATAATACTTATCAACCCCAGAAAGGTAAAACATTCCGCTTAGCTCCTAATAAAGAAACTGTATTAGCTGAACTTTGGGAGTGGGCAAGAGTGATGTCTTCATTACCTTGTGAAGAACGAAAAAGCGCATCACTCATTTGTCATCTTAGAGGGGATGTACAAGGTATTACTCGTGCTCTGATAAGAGAATTTCCAACATTGCGCATCAAAAGATATCATGGAAAATCAGATCCAATTGAGAAGTCTCAGGATTTTAGCAATGTGGAAGAGGCATGGAAGGACGTGGATCTTGTTGCATATACAAGTACATTAAAAATAGGAGTCTCATGTACTAACCCCAAGTTCGAGCGTGCATTCTGCTTTTTCAAAAGTTATATAGAAACGAATGCTGGGACAAACCAGATGTTATTCCGCATGAGATGTATTAAAGAATATACATGCCACATTGAACAAAGAGCATCGAATCTCCCAATCACTGAAGAAGGATTATTCCACTGGTTGTTAAAAGCTAAACGTGAATCTCTCCCTCAAGAACTTCAGAATAGAGGAATATTTCCAGATGTAGAATCCATTATTCGAAATAAAGACATCCCAACAGTTCGATTGTGGGTTGCCCATACATTGGAAAAATTCCGATCTCATCGTTTATTTGGGTGGAGAATGGTAGATTTTCTTAAAAAGGCAGGTATGGTAGTTTCTATAATAAATGCCACTCTAAAAGCTAAAGATGATACTGTGTCATTAACTGAAATAGTAAAGGGGTCTTCTTCGGCTATTAAAGCAGAGGAAATTTCAGACATTGCTAATGCCAATATTCTCAATCATGAGATGGCCGAACACCTAGAAAACAAGCCAAAAAAGACTTTAGAAGAAATGTATGCGTTAAGCCGGTATCATATTGCAGATTGCTATGGGATGTCACCTGAATCTTTAACAGAGGAATTTATTACAGATTATGGTAAATATGATCATATGAAATGGTTCAGAAATCTCCGAAAACTGCGAGATGCTGGTATTAATAATGAAACAGCCGTTGGGGCTATTACTCGTGAGGATTATAGAAATGATAGACTAACCACTGCAACTCAATCAGAAAAACATCGAATTTGTTTAGAGATACTAAAGATTTGCACACCTGTTAAAGATATTGATGATAGAAATAAATATAAAACTGACATTGTTGAAACACGGTTAGAATCACCTGAATCTATAAAATATCTCCAAGAATTAGTTCCTAAAATGGCACGAGTTTTTGATAATACAGATGCATCTCGCAGTGCTAAAAAATCTGGTTTAAAATCTCTTAAATCAAAACTTGGTCTATTAAATTCAGTGATCTCTACGACTTATGGATTGAAATTCAGGGCTACAGATAGACATCTTAGGTACTACTGCCTGGTTGGATCATTTGATAGTGAAGATGCACCCGAATTACCAGCATACCAAACAAGTGAAGGACCCTTTTATGAAAATGGTGAGGATATGCGTTATGGGTATAGTAAACTCTCACCCGATGAAATAGAAACATCTCCCAGTTCTGATATACAGTTGCGTCAAGATATGTTTGATATCTGTTAATATATGTATCTATTTAATAATGGCCTATGATATATCTTACAAAGGGGTTTTTGTGGCGTTTAAAATTGATACTTGTAAAAAAAAAATACCCTATTACGAAGACCATTTTTGTGATGTTAAAATCAGGATCTATATAATTACGCATCAGCTTCTATCCTCTGCGCCTTTTGTCTCTCATACCAATTTCGAAAATAAACCCTCTTCGCATGCTTAGGACAGTATCCCGTCCCGGAATTGTTTCCTTTTCCGCAGATACCACAAGGAATTTTTGCTAAATTTTTTGCCACATTTTTTTCATATAATTTCCAGTGCAACGAACACCCTTCAGGTTGCCAGCAACTTTTTCTGCAAATCGAACCATCTCTTTTAATATATGGACAGGTAAAACGTCTCGAACTATCTCTTTTAACGTATTGATCGGTTGAACACCCCATTCAAAGTGTTTTAATGTATAACGTATAAAACCCGTTTCACTTTTTATGCAAATATATTTAATATAAAACCAATTTAAATCTTTTCAGGTTATAATAATATATTATGTGTTGGAGATATCATTCGAAGTATTGCTTATAACCTCTCGTATTCCATAAAACTCTGTATAAATACTAACATATTTTTTACTCATATTTTCATGTATAGTATATAAAAATCAATTTAAACTTTTCCAAATTATTTTGTAATATTATAATCAAACATATATTGACACTATATACCACACCAATACTACACAAAAATGTATACCCAAGAGCCGGAATATACTAAAGAAACGATTACTGCTGAGCAATTATCCAAATTGACTAATCGTTGGAGAAAGCCAAAAATCTATAACCCCAAAACAAATCGCATGATTGCAATCGATGGACCAACATATAATAAAATGATACGTGATGGATATATGCATTGGGGAGAAGAAGGAGCCTTGATTCCACCATCACCATTCGAGGAATATATTAAAAAATAAAACCAAATGATATGTAATATAGCCTGAGTCTCCACAACTCCGAAGCTATAAATTTTTTTGTTATATTCTATGTGTTAGCAATATTTCAAATCGACGTATCATGTGCTTGGCATATATCGATTATTTTTTCCATGACCTCTTTAAGTAACGCTATATCCTCTTTGATACCTTCTATATTTTTAGTTATCCTATTACATAGAGCTATAGATTCCAAGACTTTTGATCGATCTCGTGTTTTATTTGTGTCCATTTTCCGATAGAATTACTCTAACTACGACCCATTCAATTTTTCGTAATAATCTACAGTACCTAGACAAAAGAATCGGAATGCACGTTTTTGTTAATTACGCAGAAACATACATAATAACCACATATTAAATTTATATCATAAGTAACTTAGGTTATGTCAAACCTTCGTGTGAAGTTTAATGTTTCAAGCCCTTATATAGCTCAAGAAATAGAAAAAAAAAAACTACAAATTAAAATTTGATGATCACAAAAATTTCACATTTTGAAATTTTATTTGTCGTTAACTAAACCTCTTATTAATGATTATCTACAGTTAATATTTAGTTGGCCATCCATTACTTCTAATGCAAGCTTGAATTCTCTGTGGCATACTTTCAATCAAATTTTCAAAAACCTTTTGAGGAATTTTATTCCACTCTTCCTCCAATGCATGTTCAAGTTCTTTAAGATTTTTTAAATTATTAGGACGATTTCGAAGACGAATTTCCAGCTCATGCCACAGATGCTCAATTGGATTTAGGTCAGGTGATTGACTTGGCCAATCTTCTAACATCTTGATTTTGTTTGTTTTCAACCATTCTTGAACATCTTTGGCAGTGTGAACAGGGGCGTTATCATCTTGAAATAAATACCCTCGCCTATTAAATTTGTCATTGATTAAAGGGACCAAATTTGATTGGAGAATTTGTATGTAGTCATGCCTGTTCATTTTCCCATCAACTTTCACGAGTGGCCCTAATCCTTTGCCTGAAAAACAACTCCATACCATTATACCACCACCACCATGTTTCACTGTCGGCTGAAGATTTTCAATATGAAATCTCGTTTGAGGTTTTCTCCATACACGACCTGGGCCATCATTTTTAAACAATGTAAATCTACTCTCGTCACTCCAAATGACATTTTTCCACTTTCTAATAGTCCAATCTTTTTTATCTAGACACCAGTTTAAACGTTTTTGTCTTTGTACTTCATTAATGAGAGGTTTGGCTGCAGGGACACGAGAAAAAAAATTAAGTTCATGCAAACTTCTTCTAATTGTTCTTGTAGAAACTTGTAAATTGGTTTTCTCATTAAACTCATCTTTAATTTGTTCGGCTGATTTACGATTGCCTTGTCTTACGATTTTTTTTAATTTTTTTTGGTGATTGGTGTTCAAAATTTTTGGCCGTCCACTTTTTGGTAGATTTGACACACTTTTCCTTTCTTTAAAGTTTTTTACAGTTCTAAAAACAGTTGTAATAGGAAAGCCAAGTTCTTTAGAAATACTTTTATATGTGGCACCACTTTTATATAGACCAATTATTTCTCCGCGCTCTGCTTCAGTTAAATCACGCATTTTTAATTTAAAATTTAAAAAAATTTTGATTTTTTTATGATTTTTTAAAAAATCGAATTTTTAAAACTTGGTTTAAAAAAAAAAGTAAACAAAAACATGTGATAAAAATTATATTATGTGAACTAGCAGGACTTGTACTTTTACATATTAAAATTTCAAATTGTATTATTGTATAGGCTTTTGAATAATTAGTAAAAAATACTAAAAAAAATTTTAGGTCAATTGAGTTTTGATTGAAATTTTATTATTGTTATTACTCGAGCTGTACAAAAGCTTGAAACATTAAGTTCTACATGAAGGTTTAACATAACCTAAGTTACTTATGATATAAATTTAATATGTTGTTGATATGTATGTTTTTACGTAATTAACAAAAACATGCATTCCGATTCTTTTGTCTAGGTACTGTATGTATTAGTAAAATTCAGATCCGTTCTGGCCAATTTTTTCCAAATATCGGGTGGCGATACCCGGATTTAAATACCTTATTTTAATATATAATTCAATTTCCTTGATGGTTGCACAGGCAATATTACAATTGGAAATGTCGAGCTCTTGGAGCTTTGGACAAGAATGAATAACATTCCAAATCGCTATTTCAGAAATTCTTTTACAGTTAGAAATATTCAGATATTCTAATTTATGGCATGAATCTGCGATTGCGTATAGACCTTTATCAGTTATTAATTCGCTATAATACCCCTTTGCCAAGTTGAGATACTTCAGATTGGGGTATGATTCTGCTATTCGATTTAATGTTTTATCACCCAATCCCGCACTATAATATAAATTCAAATGAACTATATTTGGAAACAGGCGTATAATACCTTTGAATTTTTTATCTGAAAGTGAATGGTAGTTTGGAATGTCCAGATGGGTTACATTCAAACAATAAACTGGCTTATGCTTACCACGTATTATTTTCATAAAAATTTTTTGTATATTACTCTTATTTAGCTCAATTCGTTTCCATAGAATAGGAGCACCACATCTGTACCACAATCGGGAAACATATAGAGCGGGATAAAGGGATTTATCTATCAATAAGAAATATAAAATCTGTTCTAATACTTCAGGTATACTAAAAATTCTTGAATGTATCATAAATAATATTTGTATTAAAAATGCAAAGAACGATTTAAATTTCAAATCAATACTCCGGTTATCCCATACGTAAGCATATACTCTCTTTTTCCAAACATGAGAGGAAAAAGCATAATTAATTTCGATTTGAAAAAATATTTTCTACAGTATATATAACCTAAAGAATTGTTCATAAACTACTTGACCTATTATAACATTCAACCATGTCAGCCATTACAACTAAAATAGTAGAAAAATATAATCTCAGCCCCGAAATGAGTGTGACTGATCTCAGTCGATACACCTCAGAGTTTCTTGAGAATCTTACTGATGATAGAAGAAGAAATCAGGCACGAAGGCGTCTTCGAGAAGGATTCAAATTTACCAGTGAGCAGGTAAGTATATTAATACCGAATCAAAGAGGTGGGAAAAATAAAATTATAAATTTAGTTGAGGGTAGTTGTAGAATAGCTGTAATCAAGCCTCCCAAAAGTTTGGAAGAAGAGATCGTCAGAGAGATAACTAAACGGATCTTACAGAATAGATATGGTTTTAGTGGGGATCAAGTGGAAGCCTTATTTGATTTGCAAAGCGACTTACGTCGCCTCTCTGACCAGAAAAACGAAAGTAAGACCGTAAATATTGTGATATCCAACCAACCCTCGAAAGGAATAAAGAAGGAGTCTATTGGAGATATGGCGCAACGATTTTTACGGGATAAACTTAGCATTAGAGATGTAAGAGCTGAAGCTCATGCCTTAGCCTTATCAGCAAAAAATGCCAATGCTGGTTCATCACGTCTCTCTCGTCTTCGTAGAGAATTAAGGAACCTTAATGCATCACTTGAGATAATTGAGGCTACGAAATTTCCAGATATTACAGAAGATGCTAACAAAATCCAAATGGACAATCGGAAAAAGGCTGAAACTAAACGTATTGATTATCCAGATGAATTTACATTAGAATCAGTCAAAGAAAGATTAGATGCGTATAATGTTAAAACTTTACCTGATTGTCAAGCTCTTGCTGATGTTATGGTGATGCTTTGTATTCGTCCTGCTGAACTTACAACTTTACGCATTACAGATGTCGGAGTAACAGGTTATGCAAAGAACAGGGGTCAACCAGATATTCCTAGAAAATTTAGATCTATGGAGAAGGGTCAAGAACGAGCTAAGGAATTGCTCACATGGATTCAGAATACCATATCTTCTGGTCGAATGGGTGATCCGGGCAAACCAGGAGCTAAATGGTTCAATAGATTCTTAAAAGATTATAATTTAGTTCCCAAATACTTACGAAAAATAGGTGCTGTTTATGGTGTCGTAGTACATGAGGCCGAGAATATAGCTCATGCTTATACCATTGCTGGAGAATGTTTACGTCACAACCCCGACAACCATACTTCTCCAGTACAGAATTATGTTGTAGTAAATTATCGGAGAAAAGGGCAAGATCCTGAAGAAGCAAGACCATTCCGCCTTTATGATGATGATAACTAATTACGCTTCATTACTTTTACTACATCCACAGTAAAATCATCATCATCATCATTAGACGATTCAGACTCAGAAGTGTCTCTGATACATAATATCTATGGTATAGCCCCTAAAAATTAATTATCCGAACATTAGTTGTTTTTTTTTCGATTAAAGATATATAATAATACATTACTTAAGAATGACACAACTATTGCAGAGCAATGACCCAAAGGGTCTAAATATTTTTAATTTACCAGAGTTACTTGAAAACATATTCAGTTTCTTAGCTGAGAATAAAGCACTCTATCCTACTTTATTCGTCAACCACCTTTGGTATCACTGCGGTGCTCCTATTCTATGGCGAGATATTGATTTTTTCATAGATTGTCAAGGAAACACATATAATAACAATTCATCTGGAGATCTTTATTGGCGATTATTGAAGTTTAAAAGAGTTATGTGTGGAAAGATAAAG